TGGGGGGTCCCGGGGTGCCCGGTGAGTTCCCAGGAAGTTCCCGTGGGGGGTCCCGGGGTACCCGGTGAGTTCCCAGGAGGTTCCCATAGGGGTCCCGGGGTGCCCGCTGAGTTCCCAGAGGGTTCCCGTAGGGGGTCCCAGGGTTGCCGTGGGGTGTCCCGAGGGTTCCCGCGGGGTGTCCGGGGGTCCCGGTGAAGTTCCCGCGGGGTGTCCGGGGGTCGCACCTCCTGCAGGACGCGGCGGATGCCCTCGGTGGGCGCGTCCCGGTACGCGGGGTCCTCGGAGAGCAGCTTGAGGACGCGGACGCGGCCGCCGGGGCAGCGGGCGAACACGTCCGTGAAGGTCCCGCCGCGGTCGATGGCGAACTGGAACCCGCCGGGGGCCGGGGCCGCCATGGCCCGACCGGGACACCGGCACAGGGTCGGAACGGCCCGGTAGGTGCCGGCGCGGGGCCGGTCCCGCGCGGCGGAGGGGCGGCGGTGCCCGGCGGTGCCCGGGCCGGGCCGGTCGGTGCCGCCGGTGCCGTCCCGGCCGCCAGGGGGCGCTGCGGTCGCTCCGGTCCCGTCCGGTGCCGCCGCCGCCGCCACCGGTAGAGGGGGCGGGGCCTGGGCGATGGGCGGGGCCTCTGAAGGGGCGTGTCAGGAGGGAGGGCGTGACCGCTGACGGAGGCGTGGTCTCCGCCAGAGGGGCGTGGCCTCTGCGGGGATTGCGCCACTGGGGGCGTGGCCTCGCCCTGGAGAGCGTGACGGGAGAGCGTGGCCCCCCATTGGCGGGCGGCGCGCGCGCTGCACGCCGGGAGTTGTAGTCCGCCCACACACACACCCGCGGCGACCGTCGGCGCCAACGGCCGCGCGCGGGGCACGCCGGGAGTTGTAGTCCGGGCCCACGTGGGAGCGGGAGCGGCACCGGCGCCGGTCCCGGGATGGCGGGGCTGGAGCTGGTGTCCGACGCGGGGTTTCGGGCCGACGGGCGCCGCCCGGACGAGCTGCGCAAGGTGCGGGCCCGGCTGGGGGTGCTGGCGCGGGCCGACGGCTCGGCCTACCTGGAGCAGGGCAACACCAAGGTCCTGGCGGCCGTGTACGGCCCGCACGAGGTGAGCGGGACCCCCCCCCCCCCCGCCGGGGCTGGGGCACTCCCCCTGGGGTCTCCCCGCCTCCCCCCCCGCGCACTGAGAGCCCCCCCCCCCGGCCGTCCCGATGCCCCCGCATCCCCCCTGCCCCCCCTGGGAATTGTGGCCCCCCCCCCGCCCCGGGTCCCCTCCGAACCCTCCCCCCTGGCCGAGGCCTCCTCACCCCCCTCCGGGGCTTCCCAGCTTTGGGGGTCCCAGTTTGCTCTCTGACCCCCCCCCCTCGTTTCTTTCCCCCCCCCCCCAGGTCCGAGGGTCCCGGGCCAAGGCCCCCCCTGACCGGGCTCTGCTGAGCTGCCGCTGCAGCTCGGCCCCGTTCGCGGGGGGCGGGGAGCGGCGCCGGAGACCCCCCCAGGGGGACCGGAGGTCGGGGGAGCGGGCGCTGCTGCTCAGGGGGGTCCTGGAGGGGGCCGTGCTCACTCACCTGTACCCCCGCTCCCAGATCGACGTGCACGTCCAGGTGAGTCCGGGGGGAGGGTCTGGGGCGTCCCAGGGGGTCCCGGGATGTCTTGTGGGGGAGGGTCCCCGATGGGGAACATATGGGGGGTGGGGGGTCCCAGGAGGAGAATCTGGAGGCAGAAGGGTCTGGGGGAGGGTCCCAGTGAGGAGAGTGTGGGGTTTCAAGTGCCAGGAGCGGACCCTGGGGGGGTTCCAGGGTGGTCTGGGGGCGATCCCAGGAGACCCTGGGGTGGTCCCAGGGGTGTCCCGGGGGGATCCTCGGGAGATCCTTGGGGTCTGTCAGGCTCTGGGGGAGGTTTTCAGTAGATCCTGGGCGTCCCTCAGGATCTGTGTTGGTCCCATTAGATCCCAATGGTCCCTCAGGCTCTGGCTGTGGTTTTGGGGTGCCCTGTGCCCCCTGACCCCGCTTTCCCCCTCCCCAGGTGCTGCAGGCAGACGGGGGTGACCTGGGGGTGTGTCTGGGTGTGTTTTTGGGGTGCCCTGACCCCGTTTCCCCCCTCCCCCCGTGCTGCAGGCAGACAGGGGTGATCTGGGGGTGTGTCTGAGTGTGTTTTCAGGGTGCCCTGTCCCCTCTGACTCCACTTCCCCCCTCCCCAGGTGCTGCAGGCGGACGGGGGCGAGCTGGGGGGATGTCTGAGTGTGTTTTCGGGGTGCCCTGACCCCCCTGACCCCGCTTCCCCCCTCCCCAGGTGCTGCAGGCAGACGGGGATGACCTGGGGG